TGTATTTTTGAGCAATCTATTTTCACCAGTATCTGTTCATAGATTCGATTCTCTGTAAAAAACAAAGTAAGTTACCGTAGTTTTTACCGTTACTCTGCTACAACTTAAATTAAAATCTCTGTTGTGTGCGTTGACTTTTTAGGCCAAGATTAATTTATAATATTAGTGTAGTTTCAGTTGTGAAATAAGATAGCTAGTATAGTGGTACTGGCCTCACACCCCATGCGAAAGGCTAAATTCTTCCAGACAAATCGTAAGAATCATAACCGCTGGCCGGTCTATAAGTAAAAACGATGTAACGTGATACAATTTTATAAGTAATGTAATAGTAAATGTACGGTTTTTGAATCTTTAGACTACTGACACGGATGTTTTTTTGTTTATCTTTGTTTAGTGTATCTTTCGTGTATTTCGATTCTTGAATTGTTTTCGTAGCGCGCGCAATGTAGGCCTTAATTTTCCCAGATTTTCCACTGTTTCTGCGCACTTATTGGTCACGCTGTGGCGATAAGTGCGTGATGTTATATAATAGCCTAAAGCCGTCTATCGATCATTGGTCTATCTAACAGAAAAATAAATTTTCAATTAACATTTTAGCTAGTGAAAAAAGAGCGAGAACATCACTACGTTAGCTCACGGATGTAGGTATTGTAACTATAATCAACAGTTTACGAGCGTTATTAAAAAAATAATTGGCTAACCGTTAGTCTTTATCTATACTTTAAAATACACTTGCATGACCTAACGCCACTTAGCACCTAACGATAACTTAAAAAACGTGCGCATTCTTGTTTTTGGCGATTTTTTAGGATTACCTCCCCTTGGGATTAAACCTATGGAGTACCATACGTGGAGGACCCTGGTGATAGATAGGATAGTAATCCTATCTATCACCAGGGTCATATAGAGTTTGTTGGACTTTTTACAAATGATTAAAAAATAAAATTGACCGCCTCTGTAGCCAAATGGTTAAGTGTATTGCCTAGCATTGCGTTAAGCGAGGTCCTGGGTTCGAATCCCAGGGAAACATAAAATTGTTTCGGTCGGGCAGGCCACAGGAGTCTGATCAACAACTTGCCCCTTAAAAGAACGGATCAGTGAAACGGACACAGAAATGTGTTCGCCCCATGCCCCACGAGGGGGTAAACGGGCTTTCACTTTAAGAAAAAACACAATTTGTAGTTTAGATGCTCATCAAGTCTTGGTTTTGCCGTTGTATAAATATTGTACAGAACACATTTTTCAAAAGCCCTATTTACACTTCGTCGCTTTTTTTGTATCAATTTTTGTTTTATTTTATTCTCTATTATCTTTCTGATATTTTGAGTTAATTGCTGCTTGTGTTGTCTGCGTTGTCTTTATTATATTATGTGCTTTTGATAAATTTGTAGTGTTCAATACATTATTTCTAAAAAATTATGGGTCGTTAGATTCTTATCGTTACAAATTCTATAGTTAGAGTAGTTTTGGAGGAAAATCTTAGTTCCAGAATTCCAAACCATAGATTCCAAAAGTTCATAACTTGTTTTCCATTAAGTGTTTTGTTCATTTAGCTTTACTTATTGCCAAGTTATCGTCGCCGCAGCTGAGTCTCTCCGTATCTTATTAAGGTCCTGGTTTTGAATCCTGCAGGGCACAGAGTCTGATCAACCACTTGCCTTTACTAGCGACCAGTGAAATGGGGGATTTTACAATGTTTATCTTATAATTTCGAACAATATTATGAATGGAAAGTTTCGTTGCGATTGAAATGTAAAACATTGAATATCTAAGGCATTATTAGAGGATAAAGTTAAAAGCCAGGTTAGGTCACCTGATTAGTTAGTAACAAATAAAAAAAAAGATAACATTTGGTTTGATAGCCTCTGTGGTGCAAGGTTTTTTTTAATGATAGAGAACAGATAAGCATGGGTTTACTTGATGGGAGCTGAAATACTCCAATCATATAATATCTAAACGAGATACGCTTTCGACCTCTTTTGGCTTTAGATATTCAGTAATCCACAGACTGAATTCGAAACGCGATTAAATTTCACGGCATTTTTATCTGTCTCCGGTGGTTGGTGACCCGGTCCGTGACGGAGTTTTCGATATTCCTACCACCTATTTAATATCCAAATTTCCAGGCGAAGTCCAGCGAGTTTCAGAAAAATGATAAATTGATAAATCAGAAATATGATGGACCCGGTGGGGATCGAACCCACGACCCGTGGATTATTAGCCGTACATTGCTACCATTAGACCAAGGAGTCCGTCAATTTTTTTATCCGAGTACAGAAAATAATAAGAAATGATTCATTCGTTTGGTGTAGCGGGTTAAAATGCGAAATATATGAGTAAACTTATTTAGAATTTATTTTAACTACGGACCTATGTTTCGACAGCTTTGCCATAGTCATGGTGGGGACTGAAGGTGGAGGGTCTGTTTTTAAAGTTTATATAAGTGTACTACTCGTGTAAATTACTTACATTCTAACGATTTAAAACGCGAAATATACGCCATGACCGCAGGCGGCTACTTCAAAGTATCCGAAACGTCGGGCCGTATTTAAAATAATTTGTCAACAGGTTTAACTAATGTTTTCCGTAATTTAAACCGTAAAAGTGTTTTATTTAAATGTGTACTACACGCGTAAACTACACACGATGTCGTATGCATATAATTTATTATTTATTAATCAAATTATTCCTATTACACATACGACACCCGTTGTAATTAGGGTGCTTGTCTGACCCAAATATTGACGTATAATGTGACCCTAATCCTGTAGGAAGCACCACAAAGTATGCTCGTGTTCTATGAAAAGTGGTTAAAATACTACCTAAAGTTACCAATTCAGTTGAGTAATCGTTTTTTTTTCAGAAACATTTTAATGTATTATTTAAAGAAAGGAAAATTTAAATCGGTTTTTGCATTTTTTATGATAGACGAGGACAGACAAGCATGAGATTTACTTTCTGGTGGGTGAAATACCCCAGCCACATAACATTTAGATACGATGCGCTGCCGACTTATTTTGGCTTCGGATATTCGGAAATATCCAAAGGAATAGTAGGGGTTTTTAGTTTTAAAGATATGTGCTTTTGTAGTAAGGCAAGTAGTTGAACGGTCTTCTGTACCTTAGTACCTATGTTCCTATGTCTATGTTTGTGCAATAAAGAGTTTTTATTATTATTATTACCTTTGTCGTATCTAGTTTTCCACTACTACGTAATAGCTATTTTCCAAAGCGCTACTTTGTTGTATTAAATGAGGAACACGTTCTCGCTCGTTGCGATAAACAGCTCGGTTACACTTAAGTTGTACTCGCGAAAACAACTTGATAAAATAAAAACTACTATTTTTCTAATTACGAGATATGAATTAAAAATCAATTATAAATTGAAACAAATAACGGCACAAACGGGGCTTAAACCGGCATCCACACCGTTTCATGCTGTTGTTCACCAATTGAGCTACCTACCAGATATGTCTTCTATATTAAAATGCTACTTTTCATCTACTATTTTATTACCTGTTATTTACGTAATAATGTAGGTGCGAATTATTTTAATTACCCTTTATATTTATATTTTTTTTCGGTGTTTCGGTGTATTATATACACATATATGATCGAAAATTCGAAATACACCGTTTGTAATATTTGTGAGCTAAGTTTTTGTTGACCTTTTTGTAGAATGTGGCAGCTGCGAGCGGCGCCCAAGGATACTTCATCTGAATGATGTTTATTATTTATGAGATTTATTTAAAGTATAAAAGGCACTAGCGTGCGTTCGCCTTCGCTCGTGAGGATGGTAAAATAGTCTGACTATTCTTTTACTTTATTATGCGAAAGTATGTGAAGATACGTTTCACGAAAGTAATTAACAAAACGAAAAAAGTGTAAAAGTGAAAGCCCGTTTCCCCCCTCGTGGGGCATGGGGCGAACACATTTCTGTGTCTGTTTCACTGATCCGTTCTTTTAACGGGCAAGTAGTTGATCAGACTGCTGTGCCCTGCCCGAGGGAAACAATTTTATGTTTCCCCTTTAAAAAATCGAAAGAGATATAGATATATAAGATATAGTTTTGTTAATAAACCATCTTTTAAAATACTAGCACAGCACAAAGACGGCAGCGGTTACTTGTAGACAATTTTTCCTTTCATGAATCTTTCTAGAAATAAAAATGTATTATACATGCACGCTTTCCAAAATGGTACCTTCGGTTTGATATTAAAATTCAATAAGAACGGAATTGTAAATCAATCGACGCTGTCGAAAATCAAAACAATATTTCCAGTGCCAAGTTTGTTTAAGATGTGAATTTTAATGCTATAATAGCTTGACTATTTCTAAATCCCTATATGAATAACATCCCGTCTTTCTCGTGTTCGTAAAACAAGGGATCGATAGACGGATATTTGTGTCCGTTGCTTTTATTTTTTTCTTACTTTTAGCAACTAGCTTGCCATCTGTGGCCTGCTCAATCGCAGTAATTTTATTATTTTTCCAGTACACATTCAAACCCGCTCCAAGCGTGTGAAGATGATTTTAATATAATAATAATAACCTAATCTTACTTAAATTTTCTATTTTATGTGCATATCGAGTTTAAATTTATAGGTAGTTTATGCAAAATAATTTACAATTATACCTATGAGTGTTGTTATGTTAATTGAATGTATTGTTTTATAATTAAGGTCGTACTTGTTTGTGAATTTTATTTGATGATTTAATTAACGTTTTGCGGACAAAAGTCAATTTAATTTGTACGTTGCTGAAAACTAAAAGAATTGACTAGAACTCTTAACGATAATAATATTAATAGAGATAAATTATATTACGTGTGCTTCGTAAACAAATATAGCTTTGGTTTTGGGTCGTGTGCATTTATTTTAACGTTTCGTACAAAGTGTATTTTATTTCATGTATAGATTATTGTGTAAATTATAAATGAATGTCTGTAGTAATTAAAGTGCAACGTTGTGTAATATTGAACATGTACTTTCTTTGTCGCAGTTACCTAGTGTCGGGCGACGCCGACGGAAAATGCTACATTTGGGATTGGAAAACGACGAAACTCTATAAGAAGTGGAAAGCACACGACGGGGTCTGCATCGCCTCCCTCTGGCACCCCCACGAACCCAGCCGCTTGCTGACGGCGGGCTGGGACGGCGTGATCAAGTACTGGGATTAAATCATACCACACAGTGCGACACCAGTATTTTATTTCCCCTAACGTAACCGTGAACCGTAAATAAAACATCTCAAATAAACTATACAATATTTAACATGGTCAATTCGCTAAGCCGAGCTGCGCTAACGTTACGCGGCGATCATGGGGTACTTGACGCTCTCCTCGTAGGGCACGTCCACCTTGTACTCCATGCTGCACTCGCGGCAGGTCCCGTTCACCAGAAACTGGTTGAAGTTTATGTTGTTCTCGTGGAATGATTCGATTAGGGCAGTGATTAGGCTGTCTATCATTTCGGGCGTGTGGTAGGGGCCCGGCGCGAACCGGAGACGCTCCGCTCCGCGCGCCACCGTGGGATAATTGATCGCTTGCACGTAATGGCCCCTCTTCATGAGCGACTCGGCGACGAGGGCCACCTTATCCGCTCCGGTTATGGGCACCGGAACTATGTGGCTCACGGAGGGCATCTGCGGAAGTCCCGCCACCAAGAGCGACAGTTTTAAATAACGAACGATCGCTTGGTGTTTCGCTCGCAAACTTCTTCCCTCTTCGCTCGCGAGCAGCCTAATGGCGGCGAGGGACCCGGCTAGGACGGGAGGCGGCAGCGCCGTCGTGAAGATGAACCCGGGCGCCAGTGACCGCACCGTGTCTACCAGTAATGAAGAGCCGGCGATGTAACCTCCCACATTGCCAAACGCCTTACCCAACGTACCAGAAACGATATCGATCATATGCTCGATGCCCCGCTCTTCCCCGATGCCGGCCCCGTGCTTTCCGTACAGCCCTACCGCATGGACCTCGTCCACGAACGTCAACGCTCCAAACTCGTGCGCTACTTTACACATCTCCTCTAGAGGACAGATTGCCCCACTCATAGAGTGGACAGTCTCAAATACGACTAGTTTAGGTACGCCTTCAGGCGATTTAGAGAGTAGCTCCCTCAAGTGGTTAGGGTCATTGTGTTTAAATATGTGCTTAGGTGCCCTGCTATTCCTGATTCCCTGTATCATAGACGCATGGTTGCCTGCATCCGAGTAAACTATGCACCCGGGCAGTAACTTAGCTAACGTGGACAATGTTGCATCATTGGCAACAAAACACGAACTGAATATCAACGCTGCAGGCTTTTTGTGTAGTTTGGCTATTTCCGTTTCTAGCTTCTCCGTCATTTGAGAGTTACCAGCGATGTTGCGAGTACCACCGGCGCCCGTACCGTAGGATTTGATGGCAGAGATGGCTGCATCTTGCACCGTCGGGTGACGGGACGCTCCAAGGTAGTCGTTGGCGCACCAGACAGTCACCCTACGGTTGTCTAGGCCTTCCAAAGCTTGCGGGTACATACCGTCGGCCGCTAGTCGCGACACCTTCCTGAACACCCGGTACGAGTAATCCCTCTTTTTAGCGCTGATCTGCTCATTGAAGAATTTGTCGTAGGCGTAGGGTCGTGCGCTCTCGACGATGTCCTCTGTCATCTCCTTGGGCGCATCGGCGACGACGGTGTTGTTGTTCTGAATGAAAGGACATTTCGTCTCGTCTTGCCCGAGGCTGCGGAAACCTCTCGAAATGATCGGGCAAAAATTGCCGTACTGTTTCATCAGTACGCTGCCGTAGTTCCGCACGAAAGCCTGGTTTAGCGAACCCATGAATGGACAGGGCATTTTATGTAATCGACGACACTCACTCGTAACACTTATGACACAAAGTACGGTGGGGTCGACACCTGTTTGAGGTTTATCGTAGGACGTTGGCTCGCACTGTAGCCGAACGCCACGAAGATTTGAGATTTGACTGACGGGTTAGCACACTGCGGCCCTCATTTATAAGATCGGTGTCGTCATATCGATTACGCCCGACTAAATGATTGTAAACTTCAACTCCACGTACAATTTTTATTTTGATTCATTACCAAAAATGTTGCCACTTATACGATATGTCAAAACTCATTGATCACGATGGATAATTTTATTCGCAATATATTAGATACTGCGACTATTTCTCAACTTATCAATAGATTTTTTTAAAAGTTTAAGGGGCTTAGCTTATGCAATATCTTAATTATATTGCATCTTGAGTCCACTTGTCACTGTCATTTATTTTTCTATTCGGCAATTTTATTATTTACATCAGCTGATTTTGTCTATGGTCAAATCCAATTAGAACTATATAGGAAGATATTGAGGCTTTTTAATTTGATTAAAATAATCCATATACGTGATTTTTATTAATAAATTATTAAATAAGCTATTAATCTACACCGATTAAATAGATCTTTAAAAAGTATTGGTGTGGCTATCCAATTCTCTAAGTAGCTGTCAAGCTGTATAGCTAGCTAATTGTCAAAGTAAAAACCCTTATTTTTGAAGTTAATGTTTTCTGAATAGTTAAAATATGAGTGAATTAATCAATTAAAGAAAAAATAATGTTTTCACTAAATAATCACCTTGAACTGCGACGAGTAACAATATCCAGCCTTGTAACATGCATTTATTTACCAAGTATTATAACCGCGATATCGTACAAAGGAGTCCTATATTCTGTCGGCAGCGGTTCTTCTTTCTACATCCTTGTGCTAATATTCGTAGCTGAACTAGTTAAATCGTTCTATTTGAGTTCCAGTAATGAAATCCAAGCCAAGAGAAGCAAGGGCAAGACTAGAGCAGGAGATATAATTAAATCGTTGGGTTTCTTATTGGGCATTACCTTTTGCTTTTTCCTGGGAATTATGCTGTTTGGAGCTCCTGTGCTAGATAAACATGAAGAGACCTTAATGTTGTCGAGTTTACTAACTCTATTGACAGTGTTTCCACTGGTCGCGCACTGTGGAGTTGAACCAGCAGTGCAACTATTGTTTGGTGTAAAAAGTTTTAATAAAGATACGATTGTGGCTATGTTAGTCAATAACGCGTTACTGACCTTATGTGGAGCTTGGCTAGGCGCTGTTGTGATACCTCTGGACTGGAATACCCCATGGCAGCAATGGCCGATACCTTGCTATCTTGGTGCTCTCGGAGGGTATGTCTTATCAAATGTATTAACAGTATTAAAAGTAACGATGATGTCGGGAGCAAACAAGTATAAATTCCTTAATTTCTTTATTAATGTCATCAATCGACTTCACATTTCTAAGTAAAGTTGTGCATTTAATTTGTATTTATTGTTATTTTTTTATGGATAAATAAATTACCTCTTACTGAATATGTTGTTCTTTGGAAGTTCACACAGAAACTTTTTTTTCTAGACTGAGAAACAAAAAATAAAACAGTAATAATTCTAAAATAATGTTAGTTTTACACTTTAGGTATGCTTGATTAATTAAACCAATTAATTTTCTAACACTAGAAATTTACCATCCCCTCACAAATTGCCGCTGTGTCAATTTTGTCCAATATATCTTTCGAGATATTTAATATCATTAAAATAAAAAATTTAAAACTCCATTAATAACAAATATGTATCAAATTATTTTATTTTTTAATATAGAATACCTATGCATGCCATTTTAAAAGAAATAAAATAAAAAAATCCTTACATGATAATAGAAAATATTACCCCAATAATATCATTATTATTATTTGCCATTTGGTAAAGATTTAATCTTCTAATATAACTTACTGACCTCTGCATTATGATGTTACCCAACACCTGTACAAAGTGTCCGAGCACTTCCATAAGTATGAGGTTTTCTGGTATTTATTTATATAATTATTTCTCTTGTTGTATTCAACTTTAAATATCTTCCTAGTAAAGTAGTAGTAATGAGGCTAGTCTGCAACATTGACGCCTTTTTTAATGAGATTAGACCCATTGTTTTACCATAATGTCTATCAATATATCTATATAATTGTAGATCTAAATTGTGTTCATCTATTGCTACCCTATAACTAGCCAGATCATCAAATTAATTGCTAAAATAAGGATTGCTTAGAATTATGGTGGGACAAAACTGATCCAGCACTACTAGGTGAAACAGTAATTGTTTTACTTTTATGTTTACTGTTAAGAAAATACATTGGACATGACAAAGTCTATAAATAAAAACAAAAGGGGTATTATAGTCTTGTGTAGAAAAAATTAGTAGTTTGAAACAATAAAATTTTTGGGTAGGGCTAAAATAGAATGGTGGCAACAATATATATGTATTGTAATATATAATATGTAAATCTATACTAACAATAAAGCTCAAGAGTTTGTTTGAATGTGCTAGTCTTAGGAACTACAGGTTCAAATTGAAAAAGTGTTGGTTAGAGCATTTATCGAGGAAGGTTATAGGCTATAAAAACATCGCGCTGTGACTTATAAAAGCGAAGATACAGTGGGAAAACTGAACAAAACGGGGGAAATTTTTCATCTCTGTGGGCGTCAAATACCTAAAAATGTGTGTGTATGAAAGAATGATTCCTCTTTAAATGATTTTAAAAAAATCTGCGACGCTATAAGTCTTTCTTTTGAGAACTTTTTTAACTTTCAAGAACGACAGAAAGGGATGCGATAGACGTCATGGCTAACAGCTTAAGTATATAAAGATATATACGAGGTTTGCAAAAAACTAATTTGTATGCCCAAAATAACTATTCTCGCGGACGAAGTCCCTGGCACAGCTAATATAAGTAATAAAGAAATAATGAAGAAAATAAAAACATTAATTAGTAAATTAACAATTTAATTTTGTGTCCGTTAAATATTTACAATCTCTATTCAACACTATAATTAATAAAATATGAAACTTAACCAATCTTGATCACATTGTTTTATTCTATACAAATACATTAGCTTTAGCAATACAATTTATAAAAATGCTTGCTTCATTAACAATTTCTCTTGACACAATTAGATATGCATGTCATTTGATTAATGAAGGATTTGTGTTTCATTAGTAAAATACACCGACTTATAACAATTTAAGAAGCTTTTGTCACATTGAGAACTTTTAAAAAGCTCAAACTATACACACCTAAGGCCATTACAAACTTTTTACCTGTGATAAAATCGTTTCACACATCTACGTAATCAACAACCATGCAAATTGGTCTCGTAATCAAAGATTTAACATTCAAGGATAATAATATGATCTCCTGAAACTATTCAATTCACTATTTGATTTAAGACTGTGGCACATTGGTTAAATTTTTAACATTACAAAAATATCTTTATATTAGCTGTGATACATTTTTAAATACATTGAACTTGTCATACTATTGTTACATATACTTTGACTATCATACAAATCAGCGTGAAGTGTGATTTTAAACATTGCCATATAGAAAAATAGATATGTTAGAATAATGATTGAAGTTAATAAGAAAATATGGAAAGTAATTAAAAGAACAAAGTGGGGGGAGTAAATACATGTTCAACATTAACTGGCCAAGTCAAAAGGTAAAGCAACAGTTATACAACTTACGTATCTAGAATACACTAAAATAATACAATAAAATATTTAGTATGTCAGCACCTTGTAAACAAAAAATTGGGTTTCTATTATTGCTTTGATTAACATTCATATATTACAATAAATGACAACAATTTAAAGTATACCATTAACATATGATGTTGTATATGTATATCATAAAATGTAAAACTTGTATGATAAAAATAATATCCTATGTCGAAATTATTATGTACGCTTAAAGTATAAAAATGCACCACTTACACTAACTTCTATAATATAATACTACAACAATCATGTGGAATTATTTTGCATGGTGTAGGCCAAAAATAATGTCATGTTTAAGGAAGATAGCGATTAACGTTGAATACAATTAGTGTCTGAAGTCAGTCATGTTTCTTTATAACTCTCCACTAAAGTGTTAATATTGCAAATAAATTCCACTTCAACATAGCAACTGAGACCATTGACCTACAATTGACCAAACATTTTTTGTTGAAAGCTGTGAAATGGCAGTGTCCTGAATACTTAATTTATTACAAACTCGCTTTAATTATACAAAGATATTAACAATTTTAAATTGAAATAACATTGTACATTATAAGAATTACTGCTGTGACAGATAAATTGGCGCTAAACTCAGCCATCTTGTATTTCTGCAGTACGGTTGTCCTGTTCCTTAGCAACACATATGCGAGAGACAACACTATATCACGCAGTTATAGTATTCTAGTTGATTTAAGTAGACATAGTAATAAAGAGAAACTTTTTGGTCAATGCGGTGTTTTGGGTCGGAGTGACGTCACGCAAGTGCGCCCATGCGCCTGAGTTACGTGTTATTTGAGTCCGGCTGGAAGTAATGGATGCCGTTTATCTGAAAAAGAAAAAGCAATCTTACAATGTAAAACCAATGGAATGTAAGTTCTACTAGCGTTATAGTGGTTAGAATAAAAATATAATAACCATAATGTATGTACTTATATTATTTTCCTATATAACTCGCAAAACTAATTTTTGCTCCCTAAAATAGACATTACGAAGTAATTAGGTATTATCCTGAATTAAAAAAAAGTAAGATATCAGTGTAGTGTAATATGGCCACTACCATTTTTATAAAGATAGTGTCGTGGTTTCATACCGTCATGTCGTATTCCGTGACGAAAGCCGGCACGTCGAGCTGATGGGGCTGCATCACGCTGTACAGGTACTCCACTCCCGGCAGGTTGTGCACCTTTGCCTTGATAGCCGGCGCCATGAACGTCGTGAACCACCACGTCATCATCTGTCGATCATTATTATTATTAATTTAATTCGTCAAGGTGTATTTAAGTTAAATCATGGCTCATATCGGCACTAACCTTTGTCCAGAATGTGGGGTGTACAATGTAGAAAGCTTTCAGGTTTTTCTTGTATCTGTAAAATGAAAACCACAATAAATGTTAATTATGTTCTTTATTGAGACACATGTTAATGGTATTTCCTAAAGTAAATTCAAGTATAAAGACTAATTGTATTTACATTTATAATAACTATCAACTATATATGTAATGCATGTGCATTATTTAATAATGACTTCTAAAAACTCACTTGTAAGGCAGCACGGTGTAAACTTCTTTTAGCCAAGAGAAAGGTGGATGATTGGCAGACGACGCGAGGGTGTGGAAGTAAGCGATCACGTAATCGCCGCGGACGAGTGGATCCAGAAGTTTGATCAGATACAATAAAGCCTGGAAACATTAGGGAAAACACATTTTTACTACAAATAAAAGAAAATAGTTTTGATTTATTATTGCAAGGAGAACTACTGTTTTCGTTTCATTTATTTCAATAGTTTTTTTAAACGCGTTTACAAGTTTCAACCCAAAAAATAATTGACTGAAATTTCATAAATATACAATATATTTCATAACATATGTTTATTACCTTATCTAAATCAATATCGGCGATAGGAAACCATTTGCCGATGAAGACGACGACTGGTCTGCCGAGGCGGTCAACTCCACTCTGGTAGAGGCAACCGATGCCGGAGATTTCGCTCAAGTCTTCAGTGCGCGCGCGCCGCAGGAGGCGTTCATATCTTGAAAGATACATAGAATCATATAAATTCGGTGTTAAGTGCATACAAATATGGCATGCTGAAACACTCAGCAACATTTTTTAAAAATCTATCAAAACTTTGTATTTGATTTTTCTTCAAATACTTTGTTTTGGCATTTGTAACGAAATATTAAATAGAACAGCAAAGCTTTTAAAACTACAATAACTAAATAAATTTCATAGGCCTGCCACTAAGACATAGGGTGATCAACCACTTGCATCTAATAATTAGACTTTTACTGTCTTTTTTTTACTTACGTTAAAACTTACCTTAATGTTAAGTGATTTAAATGGGTGCTCGTTTATACGTTAATGTTATCATTTGACTGGAAAGTAGAGAGAACAATTTATTGTCTTAGTCTAACCAAAATAAACAGCATTTCAGCTAAACCTAAGTAAGCACGAACGAAGAAAAATGTGTCAAAGAAAAGTAATATTTCATACAGCTTCAAATGCCTCCATGATTCATTGGGATCATATACTGCCTTAACCTACTGACGTCAAAGAGGGCGCGACCCAGTTTCTTGGCGGAAGGTCGTTTTTCACTTTCCCGCGTTGAATTCGCAAACACTCGCGTATTCTATATGGCCTTTGTAATTGAACCCGACAGGGCAAAGATATTATCTACTGTATTACATTTATTCGGCAAGTTTTCCTTATCAATCTCTTTTTGTGCGAACATTGTCTACGACAGGTTTTAATCCTGTGATCGCTCGTTGGCTAACTAACCAATGAATGCGATGTATGGCTAATAATAATCAATACGAAGTGTGGTAGATCCCTACGGGGTCCTAAATATTCCTCATCAATGTATAATTTTTCTGAAAAATGTTGGACTTGTCTTGGAACTGTTCGTATGGACTGGAAAGCTTTTTAAATGGGTGGAATATTGAAATTTTGTCCGGTTAACAAAGCGCCGCTCAACTGAACAAATGAAATAGCCCCGTTTCGGTTCCAGTCTGTGGATATACGAAAATCCAAAGCCAAAATAAGCGCATCTTGTTAAGATGTTCCTTCCATCAAGTAAACTCAATGATGGTAGATAGATAGATGGATAGATAAATGACATATGATAGAGGAGGACCAACAAGTGTCCTCCCCATCATAAAAATATGCTCTACTTGTCTAGACTTCAAGTGCGTAGGCGGGTGCATTGATTTGCCATAACTTTTATTGTTACTGCCTTCTAATAATGTGTCTGGCACGTACGCAGTAAAGAGACGCCGAAGAATATAGTAGTGTATAATAAAATCAACATGTTTTGTTGTAGGATTGCAGCATATTTCTGTTAAGTGATAACATTTTGAGAAGTATTTTCGTGGCCAAATGATTTAGACGTACGAGTTAAGACATAGATACAGATTATTTTGGCTTTCTACATTGGTGATTTCACATTCGAAATGAGGAATTTTTACATACTTACAGCCTTTTAAATGATTCAGAAAAGTGATAAAATGATTTTGCAATTGTGTTGAATTAGGTGGAAATTGAACCCACGTTGGAGCACTACATTGCTACCAAATGACCTAGAAACCTCTCAAATGTATGCTTATATTTAAATAAATAAATTGTTTACACTCAAATTATTATAATGAATTATAATTGAAATAGATAATCTATTTTTCATTTTGCACGGAAAAGCCACTAATTAAATTATTTCAAACTTTACACCCAGTTATCTCAAATATAAACCTATTATTTGAATACCAAATCCACTTTAATTTCAACGTCTCAATTACTGGCTTTATACGATTATAGTAACTACATATAAAAACAAGCGCCAAACGTTTAATTTATGACAAGCGCTTCTTGTAGATGAAGATTAACACGTTTTATAATGAAGGTTAAAAGTACGTGTTAAGGATTTTAAGATGTTTTTTAAACTGCTTGAATTATAATTCAAGCGTTTGAATTATAAATACTACTTGGGGTTTTAATGCCAAGATAAATTTCTCTGCGCAGACAAAAAGTATTGTAGTGTAAATTGCGGGACTAATAGTGAAATATTCAAATACGAGACTAAATCATACGTCATTTTGTGATTTAGCGAATTTTACTCATAAGCTGAATTTATCAGAATGCATTTTGTGAGCAATTTTATACTTAGTACCTAAGATGAGTCACGCTGTATGATTCAGAATATGTAATATTTGTTATGTTACAAAAGCGAAAAGTTATAAGCTATTTTCTTACGTCCGGCAATGCAAATTAATTATGTTCCATACGCCTTTCAACAAAATTAAAAAAATTGCGTATAGTATCACTGTCCCGTACTATTCCGAACTACCCACGCCGCCATATCACTTCGAAGGACTTAACCCTTATGAACGTCAAACAGTTAAAAATTAAAACTCTAAATTTACAGTTACTACCAGTTCCCAAGTTAAAGACATAGAACGAACGAGAATAACTGGCAAGAAACTCGCCGCGGGTTCCTCCTATTTGATATGTAGGTATAAATCATTAGAAATAGATAGTTTATTACATATTTCTACAAAAAATATGCTTTGATTTACAATTGTAGGCCTAAATAGTCGATGTAAACTGTAAATTTTCACACTTTAGTGTCGCGTGCTTGTTCAATTTGAATATTAACGTAACGTACTCTTTTCAAATAGGACCGCTGTAAATATTTCTTATGTTTTACTTAGAGCTCCTTAACTAAACATTCTAGGTGTTATAAAGATTTTGCTAATAAGGCAAGTTCAGCAAGCCGACCGTATAACCGACTTCAAAAAAGGAGGTTCTCATTTTGTTTGATATCTACTGATATACATATGTGTTTTCTTATATGTGTTTGCGTATAACTTTGACGTTTTTTTGTAATGTAAATATTTCCGAGGTGATCGCTTTAAAATTTTTCCAAATACTAATTATATATAGATATAGTAAGATTCGTGTGTAGTAGGAATTTTATATTGTACTGATTTAAAAACTTTATTATTTTTTACATGTAGGCACTATATGTTTAATTTTAAAAAAAGAAAATAGATTTTCAAAAAAATCCAATCGGGCAGGACTTGAACCGGCACCGTCAGCGTTCCGTGCTGTTGCTCTACCGAGTCCTACACCTCATCGTCGAATGTTTTCAACTTATTAATATATGCACCTCTCGCGCACGGAATGCTGACGATGCCGTTTCAAGTCCTGCCCGAGTCGAAATGTTTTTCGAATTTATTTTCGATTTTTAAATTGTACTGATTTAGTTTGAGTTTAGAAAAAAATATTTATTACATCTCTATTTATAAATGTATATATCACTAAATGTACATTTTTGTGCGAAGTATTTTATTGTACAATTGGTAATTTTTCTTGAAATTTAATTAACCCTGGTTTTAAATCCTCGGTTTACCAGATATTTTAACTAATAAGTAAAGACATTTCAGAATTAAATTTTCTTTATTTAATCTAACTTTGTAACAGACGCAGTTACGTAAATTAAGTAGATAATGACTTCTAACATAGAGTAACTAGTTTTTACAAACGATTGCGAAAGAACCCTGAAACGCCAATAAACCTCTCTCAAAACACTACCAAGAATTCGGAAACCATTACGAGAGAAGTCTGTTCATAGCTTCGGTTCCGTTTACATTTGTTTCTATTTGCGACTCGTCCAAAATTAGCAGAGGTCGCGTGTGACGTCAGACGCGAATTCGATGGTGGTTTGCTATTACCATTAGTTAGGAATCCCAGGAATTTAGATTACGTTGCATTTGAAGTCGCAGTTTTCCACATAGTAGCTCTTTATATACAACTATCTATATATAAAGATGTTATAATGGCTACTAAGTGCGCTGAGGGGTACAATTTCAACTATAATGAATGGTTTGTAACGAAGAGATCTGAATGTCATATGTTTGACGGGCGTTGGTCTTATGGTAGCAATGTGTGGCTATAATCACCGGGGTCGTGAATTCAGAAAAAAAAAGGGGGGAAAAAGGGGTATTTTTTTTCCAATGTATAATTTGTCTGAAACATGTTGGACTTCGTCTGGAAATCTGATATTAAATGGGAGGTAGAAATATCGAAAATCCCCCCCGGTCAGGAACTACCCTCCAAAGATAAACAACTTAATGTTTGTTATCCGTTATTTCAACCTTGTCTCTCCGCCTCAATCATTAAAAAAAGCGTAAAGCAGAAAAAAGGCCTCTATCTTTATGAGGTTCGTACAAAACAGGAAACTTATGGGTTGATAACATTACACTGTTTATATCGTGTCCAACGTAGAAAAAGTATTTATATACAACTCCACATTATGTTAGCACGCCCCCAAACAAGCGTAACCGCGACGCAGACGGCTCTGGCGTTCTGCCAGTACGCTCTCATTGATCAAAAACGTCACGACCTTTGGGCCATCGTATCTAAGCGTCTATTCCGAAGTAGGTGATACGTATTGTGGAATCAATTCCTACCATATCCGACTTCTATTTTTTTTGATGATATGATAAACTTCGTCTGCTCTCCTCATTTTTTTTATTATTACAGTAGGTGGAGTGTGAGTTTTTAACTGAGCTTAGTTTTTTTGATAGACCTATAAATGGAACATAAAATAGATAATTTATATTACAGTGCTACTGTAGATCAAGTGAATGTATACAAAATATTGGACTTCTCTCTATTTAAACCGAGAAATCTTATTAAACCAGATAGATATTCTGGTTCGACATTGTTTCGCTGTGTCAGCTGAGTGGAGCAGTTGCGGTCAACGAGGTCGCACAGCTATAGCTTCAAACTGAATTGAGGTCTTAATTAAATAGTTTTGTTAACATTTAGACTAACTTTTGAGGTCTACGTAAGTATTGTCTATAGTTTACGCTGTTGGTATATAATAAAAAAAACAATTTTAACAGTTTAAAATGGGAATAATGTTGGTTAACTTTCTGTAAATACATTTACAGCAACTGTTGGGATCTATTACCAATGGAGGGCGTCCGTAACGTAAAAAGTTAAATAATAATTTTTTATTTTATTTATATCGAG